TATCAGACGCTGCTCCTTTTTTCTCTCATTCTAGACGTACCGAAGGATTTTATCTCCTGTCCCAGAGATAGAACAACAAAATTGTCAATCAACCACTGTGTGATCCCATCCCTGATCTGTGATTACTCTTGACTTAGAATCTCAACAAGTTGTCAGAAGTACAGGAAGCGCAGTACCAGATCTGTGCGGACAATGATGCCGTCACTATTGCTCTTGACGCGGGCTTCCACGTGGAGAACAGGCCGCTGAAGGACTTCCATCGAATATGGAGCACTAATAAGAGCACTCATTTGTTTTCTCGGCAAAAGATATGAGTCCTCTGTAACCTCCGACTGAAGGACGCAGCCAGAATAGCTGTCTGCCTTCGAAGGAAGATGGACTTGAGTGACGGAGCGGAATAGGTCTGAAGAAAACCAGTACAACGGAGCGTAGAGATGGGAATTGCTCAAGATGAAGCGCGAAGCTTTTGCAAGAGGCAGCAAGGTCCCCAGAATTATATCCAGCTCGATTACGTTCACAGCATCTGATAACCAATCTCTCCAGCGTAGCGAGCATTGGCATTGCGGCAGAGCTCTTCAAACTCGATGAAGGGAGAGTGACCTTCCTGAACTTTGAGGTCCAGCCGGACCACAAAGCTTTGGATCAGTAGTGTTAAGCAGCACTGCGTACAATCCAAGAGCCAGGTGTAGTACAGACTGCCGCAAAACAGCTTGTAGTATATCTTGCTTTGCTGAGCCCATCTATCACTTCTACAAAATGAATTGATATTTCATTCAAATAATTTGCTTCTCAAAAACCAATAGATGGTGTCTCTCTGATCGATGCCAGGTATTCCATATGTTCTTGCCGGGTTCTAGAGCTTTCAGTTATTCTTCATCTATAGAAACGTGCTGAAATGGCTCTGATGCCTGTGTTTGCAGAATATATCTCATCCTGTAAAGCCAAGACGAGCCTCATTTTCCATATAGTTCAAACGTTTCAGAAAAGGATCTGGTCACTGAATTAGTGTATCGCCTAAATTTTGGCTCGTAACCTGAGGTGATCATCGTCAGAGGAGATCTTGTCCCGTCGAGTGGCCATTCTGCTAATCTCTTGGATACTCTTGGTTGGTGCCGGAGATCGGGCCACCGATCTGTCGTGTGGATTTTCCGGGGAACTCTACAGGCAAACTTAAGGTATTCGGCCAAGGCCTAAGGGTCCTTGGGCACATTGCCAACCTTCAGCCGCAAAAGCAATTATCGACCAGCACCACGGTCCATTCTGTTGGACCTTGGGGATATAACTAATAATGTCTACTTGTGTCATTTGAATAGGTAGCCTTTTTGCTCAGTATTGGATCCCTCCCACATCCATCCTGCCCCGCAGTATCTCCTCAGCAGCTCAACAGCACTGGGCGACTCCGCGGCCCCGAGCTGTCAAAGCTATCGTCGGGACGTCTGAAATCTTTTCTCCCGATGTTGAACCAGACACAGCAAGATGGCGAACGTAAGGAATGGGCCGAAACCTGGCGGGAAGCCGCGCAGAGACGTATTGGCTTCACTCAAGATGGCGTCAATGGAGGAGATCTCTAGGGCTGCCCTTCCAGCAGGTATGCTTAACAGGATCAATTGGCTCATCTTGCCGGTATTAGTTAAGTTAACGAATCTGACCACAACCAGAGATCATGTCCTCTATTCTCGACCACCTCTCGCCCGTCGATCTCATCCGTGCCGCACGGTCTTCAAAACTCCTGCGCGAAATGGCCTATGATGATACAAGATGGGTGCAAAAGCTGAAACGCATGGGATGCTGGAATGAGACCGAGGCTCGAAAACATATCGAAGAGACTTTTGGGACGATCGCGAACATGGAGTCGGTCGAGCAACAACAGGCCGCGGAGCAAACCGGACAACCACTCAGTGAACGAACCCCGGCGACCAGTTTGAATACACTATCGGATGGATTTGATCAGATTAAACTCTCCACCTCTGTTCCTCCCGAAGATGTTCATGAGCTAGAGAAGGACCCTGTATTGGGCGCGTTGAAGCAAGTGAGATCAGTGCGCGGAGAAGCACGCCTTGAGTACGGAAAGGTCCACGCTGCATTGGCACCGTTCTACGACGACATCGTCTCATCTGGCCCATCCCCGGATAATTTACTATTTAAGGAATATCCGGATCCTGAGCATCAAGCGCAAATACTATCTCAATTGCGATCATTCGCTAAGTGCGATACAACCGAAGGTTGGCGGGAAAGGAACGCGCGCCTACAATCCGCCGTATCAATGTTCGAAACTGCCGCTATGAAAGAATTTCGACAGGGTTACGAGAGTGAAGATATTGACGGTGCGATGCGTAAATACGCTCATGTTCTATTCACTTTGAATGGCGGAGATTCCGCTATCGAATTCTTCATCAACCATAACCACTTGATAACTCGAAAATCTGACTTGGGAAGGGTAGCGGACTGTATCGACGGGCTGAACCAACGGGTCAAGCTCGAACATACCCAGGCGTTCTTTACCAGACTGAGTGTGGCTTACAATGAGGAAGCCTCGATAATCAACCGCGCCTTTCCCCCGAGCATGAACGTTGGACCCGCTTTTGTTGAAAAGGTTGCACAAGACGTGCTATATCCATTCTTGACCGCGATCTTCGACGAGTTGCATCGTTCAAATCTTGAGTCATATCTCATCGCCGTCTCGGGGACATTCGCGCAGTGTCTGAACTTGTCTGAAGCACTCTTACCAATCCAGAACACAACTGACACGCTTGACGAGTTTCTGCACCACATCGTGGCGAAAGTATACGAGCCTCACATTGACTTGTACCTTGCAGAAGAGCTCGACCACTTCCGGAAAAACTCTGCGGCTGTAGTGGATGAGTGGGATAGGCAACTGTCAGAGCAGGCTGCTTCGACTGAATCATTTCTGATGTCCAATGTCAATAGACAGGCTGACAAGCGTGACTTTCTGACTTCGTTCAAAAAGGTAATTATGGCACCCGTCAACATTCTCCCCAGCTTTTCGAGCTCCAAGTCAGGCGAAACAAAATCCGATCAAGAGTCCATCGCCAGCGAACCGTCTTCGGCGCTGAAGAGCCCAAATAGGTTTTCCACTATTGCATCCCCTGCTCTTACCCCTACGGTTGAGGCCCCTCCAACCACAGAGCTTGCAGCTAAGGCTGCCGTCATGAAGTCGAAGTTGGAGGGCATCCGGTCTCTGTTTAGTATCGAAATCGCTCTCGGCCTAGTTCACTCGGCCAAGTCCAGCCTCGACCGTGCCGCCCAATTTGTGAAGATTGGAGGTGAGACTGGAGCGGCGGCCAAACAGCAATGTGAGGCAATATTTGTCGCGCTCTTGCGTATTTTGGGACATCAACACCTTATTGTCGGTTTCAACAAAGCGGTCGACCATCTATCCAACTATAGACCTCGTGAACAAGGCGAGCGCGATCAGGCAGGGGTTGAGCCTCTAGTTACCTTCTTGGAGCTCGTGAACGTTGGTGACCTTATATTGCAAATGATGGATGTATTTTACGAGCAAGAGCTTGTTGGGGCCAAGATCACCGATCGAAATGATTTTCTCGACCCTGCTGTGAAGGAAAAGAAGAAATTCGAGCAGATTTTGGACGAACGTGTCGCTGCTGGACTGAACAAGGGTATCGATGTCCTGATGGAGGAAGTGGATTATATCCTCGCGACTAGACAGCAGGCACTTGACTTCAATCCCGATGTCTCTACGGATCCGTACCGAAAGACAATGGACGTGGCTGTCAGTGAGGCGGCCGCGGCCGTGGTTGACGTCGTCTCGTCACATACGCAGATGCTTGTAGGAAGCACGGACAAGAGTACGCTAGATGTCTTCAACCAGGAGGTCGGATTAAGACTTTTCACAGCTTTGTGTAAGCATCTGAAGCGACAGAGGATCAGCATAGAGGGGTCCTTGAAGCTTATAAGGTGAGACTGCTCAGGTTGTTTAGAGGTTGTGTTAATCTTTACTGACTATACTAGCGACATGAACCACTACTTTAAATTCATTCAAAGCTTAAAGAACAACGATCTTCTCCTCTACTTCAAAGCCTTTCGGGAACTAGCGCAGATCTATCTGGTCGACCCATCTGATGCTAAAGAATTGGCGACAATCATTGCTGATGCAGATCGGTTCTATGGAATATGGAGGGTGGAGGAAGTCTACGAGTTCGCCGAACGACGAGCGGACTGGTTCCAGATTAAACGCGACGTGGAACGCGCTATGTACGGGATTGGGTGTAACGTTATGTGATTATTCCGTATGATTCCAGTATATATGATGATATCGGATAGACAGGCTAGAATACCCACATTGTTATACAGTCATCGACCAACGGATGGGACGGATGGCAATTCTCCACCTTGGGAAATTCGGAGCGTGAATTGATATCACCGCCTGCGACTTTTGAGTTTGTCCTGAATAACTCAAATCTTTTAATCGAGAGGTACCAGCATCATCTATAAGGCATCTTCGGAGAAGCAGAGCTTATCGTGATTTGACACCGATAAGACTTTTGCCAGTCGGACTGACGTCAATGAGCGGCTGCTGATACATAGCGCAAGCGCTCTCAGCCACACCCTTCCACCACTGCACGCTGGTATGTTTTCATCCTATAAAAAGAAGATGCTACCTGGGGACAGACATGGCTGGATAAAAGCAATGTTTCCCACCGTGTCTCGCCGTGGGCTACTGGAATGATTGTTGTTTGAAACACGATGAATTGAATAGTATGTCATCTCTTTCAGCCATCCAATACACTTTTTAACACTTCTTACACAATACAGGACTGCAGTTAAAGATGGACTACCGAGATTGATTATCTGGTTCTGCATTTCTCACATCTCAATCGGCTCATGCTTGCCTCGCTGATGCGGCATGAGCAGAGCAGTTGCACTGAATCTGTGTCTCGCATCGACATTTCATATATCCCTAAAGAAGAGCAGATGAATCACAGGACGAGATACAACCACCAAATTAGAGATTTAACAGAATGATCCCTACTGCTTCTAGACTGCTCGCTGCCGCTCCCATCTTCCTGTGGCCCCAACTTCTCCCCAGCGTACATGCGAGCGACACTGCAGGAACCACGGTCATAGTCACAGTAACACCCACAATCCCACATCCACCTTCCTATACTTCCCCCGAGATATTCAAAGATGCGGTCCTCTCAGCCAGCAACGCCTACCGCCGCGACCACAACGCAAGCCAACTAACCTGGAACGAGACACTCACAACATATGCTAAACACTGGGCAGAGGGATGCGAATGGAAGCACTCAGTGAGCCTCATTGACCCTATCCCTATCAAACGCACATTTAGAATCCATATTGATAATCACAGGGGGGCCCGTACGGCGAGAACCTCGCCTTCGGCTACTCAGATCCGACAGTCGCCATCTCCGCCTGGGGCGACGAGGGCCAGAAATACAACTACAAGCTACCGACGGGATTCAGCGAAGAAACGGGGCATTTCACGCAGTTGGTCTGGAGGGCGACGAGGGAGGTCGGGTGCGCGGCATTCAATTGCGGGTATAGCAATGGGAGTGATACGAAGGATACAGAGGGTCGGTATACGAGAGCGCAGGGCTGGTATGTGGTGTGTGAGTACTCGCCTGCCGGGAACGTGGTTGGAAACCAGAATGCTTTCTTCCAGGTGAATGTGCAGTCGGCGAGTACGTATTCTGGACCGGAGACGACAGGGCTTTCTGCTACCGGGAMCAGTGTGAGTACAAGTGCAAGGGCAACACCAACAAGTGGTGTCGATGAAGTGTATGATGGGCGCTTGAGAGACCAGTATCAGAATGCTTTTGTTGGGCTCATAGTTTTTATAAATCTAGTATAAGGCGTGAAGATGAGAGGAACTAAATTTATGTACGCTCCTGCGAAGATCTGCTCGCTCATGCATTGTCATCTCTCGTACTACCGACATCGCGCACATAAATTCCCATATGGGGAGATAGCACTTATATCTATTCACTTTTTGAACGTTCCAGACACTCCTGGACTGAAATCAAGCCAAATTGGTAATGGAAAGAGGCTTAAGGCGGAGAGAAAAACAGAAATCCCGGGGAGAAATTGGCGAAGATGTTGACAGAGAAGAGTGAAAAGAGATAAGGTAGATAGAGGACAGCATTAGATACGAAAAAAGAACTCCACTTAACCGATGACTTCCTCGCTTTCCTCGACAATCTCTTCGACAATCTCCTCCACAACAGTATCGCCTTGCTCTTGCGTGGTTGCAAGGGCGTCCTTGGCCAACTTGGGGTCGTCCGCGTCCTCGGGGAGACCGTAGGCTTCCCTCTCCTCGGCAAGGAGCTCCTTCTCCCGGCGAATCCAGGCAAGCCACTCGTTGAGAACCCGCTTGCGCTTCTCGACAACGGCTGTGTTGGCAATATCGACCGCGTATCTGTCCTCCTCGTCGAACTCCTTGGAGTATTCCCGAAGGTTCTTGCGCACTTGCTTCTGCTCCTCCTTGCTGAGAAGAGTGGGTGGGCGAGGGCGCCAGAGGAATTGCTTGAACTTGTCTGTGGGGTTCTCGGAAAGGGTGTTACCGGAGAAAGTGTGCATGTTCCAGCCGTTTTCCAACTAGAAGAGAAGGTAAGTCAGCAATGTTACAAATATTGATGAAAATGGTCGGAAAGGCTTCTTACCGAGTGTGTCCACACGCTAGCACTGCTGACGACGTAACGGCCGGTAGGATCCCAGTCGATATCCGTCACACCGTAGTGTTCAGCGGTCTTCATCAATTGAACGTTGGCGGCGAAGTCCTTCTCGGCTTCGGGCTTCTCACCCTCAAAGTCCATGTCCCAGAAGTCCATGTCAAAGCTGGTCTGGGAGTGAACGGTGGCAACGACAACGAAGCGACCCTTAGGCGACCAGTAGATTGCGTTGCTGTTCTTCTTTTCGATGGTGCGGATAAGCTTGAAGTTACCGATTGCTCCACCCTTCTTCTCAGGGGCAAAGAACGACACGGCGGTCTTGGGTGCAACAGCAGCACCAGCGACAGCCTCGCCGGTTGTGATGAGAACGAATCGATTGCCATTGGGCTCCCAAGCGAAATTGATCACAGTATCCTTGAGACTGTCAACAACTTCAACAGGGACACCCTTCTCGCGTACCCGGAAAATCTCGAGGTTGGTGGCCATGGACTTCTTCGATTTAGAGTGTCTATCCACCTTCACGCAGACATATGAACCCTGGGACTGCCAGTGGAGCTTGACGTCGGAAACATTGAACAAATTACGTGTTCGTACAATTTCTTTCGATGGGACGCTCATCATAGCGACTCTGGCGGGGCTGCTACCGATTTCAGGGGTCCAGAAGCAGAGCAACTGTTCGTATTGTTTGACGCCCTCACGAGTCACAGTTGCGGGTGACCACTCAAAGTCCATGACGCCGTCGATCTTCACCGATGTCTTTCCGAGCAAGTTCATTCGTGGAAGCTCGTAGATTGAAATGGACTGGTGCTGTAGCATGCGAGCGACGTACTTTTCATCGGCAGACCACTTGAATGCAGGCCACTGCACCTTCTTCTTGGGCTCAGCGTCTCCCGCGGGAGCAGCAGTGAGATCGTGAGAGACGAAGGAACGTAGAGGCTTTCCAGTTGCAATATCCCAGACGATAATGTTCTTTCCTTCCTCCTCGTAAGTCAAAATAGACTGGCCCTCTTCAACCTGAATGGGGCGCGCGGACCAGGTCGTCAGATAGCTCTCACCAGGCGAGAACTCGATGAGCTGGACGAAAGGATGGGGGAACTGCTTCTGTTTCGAGAAAGCGGGACCACCCCAGAGCTGAACACCCTGAGGGTGAACGGATGCGAGGAAAGTACCCTTCGGAGACCACTGGACGAAAAGCTGCGTCCAGTGCGCCCGGTCGACAACATTCTCGGGCGGATTGTTCTTGTTGTTCCAGAAAACGCCAACTTTGTCACCACGATAAAGGGCAAACTGATCACGCGCGTTGGGATCCGCAAGCCACGAGCGGAGATGCTCCTTCTCCTTAAAAGGCTCGACGGCAGGGGGCTTGTACTCTTCATCAATGCGCCCTTCGCGGCCATAGCGCTCGATATCCATTAACTTGTTCACGAGAAGGGTGTGCTTTTTGTCGAGGGCAGTGCCGTGCAGCTGCTTGACCGCGGCGACGGCTTGTTCGGGGGTCTCGAACTCAACGAAGGCATATCTGTAGAACGCGAAGTAAAAGGTTAATTATCCGAGCTGCAACCCTGTGTTCTTTCACCCGTACATACCCTTCGGACATGTTCTTGTCGTTGAGGGGCATAAAGACCGCATCTTCAGACGTGTGGCCCACCGTGTTGAGTTTCCTCAACAAGAACTTGATGAGCTTTTGTCTGCTTTCTTCGGGCACAACCGGGAGTCCATCGATCACAACAAATGTATCCAAACCCTCTTCGAGCTTCACTTCATATTGCGCCTTGAGATCTGGATGTCGGATAAGGAACCGTGTTAGCCATGAGGGGCAACAAAGCGAGAAAACGTCCACCCCAAACAGTCGCACTCACCGGAGAAGTCAATCTCCTCCTCCTCTTCTTCGTGGAGGTCCTGCTCAGACAAAGTATCGAAACTGGGCGCCATGGCTGTTCGTGACCGGGGACGGTGGAGCGAAGGCGATGGGGAGGTGGGAATATCGAGGATGAGATCCTGTCTAATTTTCTGCTGGTCAACCCCGTTTTGGCTGGCCTTCGATTTTAGGGCAAAAAGAGCAAATCCCAAGCGCAGCCGCTTCTGTGTGCGGTGTGCTGACTTATTTCTGAGTCAGCAATTCCAAGTCACGTGGCTCATTGCTCAGTTTCATCATCCGCCCCAGCTGGGCTCTGGCTGGGCTTTCATGCATGATTTCCTCATTCGGCATAGTTCTAGACCGAGGTGGTATTATTCTCGTAAGGTACATACATCGAGAGAGGGAAGTACGGTAAACTGGTAACTAAGATTCGTCAATGCTCTACACTCTCTTAAGTACTACTACTACTGGGGAACAGCAACAACACCGACGCATCATCCCGGACGTCTTTGCTGCTACAGGTTGAGCACCCTACTTGCTGTGGGGTCAACCGTCTTCATCCTGTCTTTGTTCATAAAAGACTTATATGTCTTCTTTCTTCTCGTCCAGTCTCCCTTGATATTGGTACCTGTCTCCGTTTCATATGCCCCGCCGGTCCTAAGCGCCAAGTGAGTGACCGCTTAGATCTGGACGAGCTCAACTATCACCATTGCGATACCCATAGGACCGACTTTACTCTCATCCACACTTTACTCTCGACTGTAGCGATTTCTCGAACCTCAATTCCAACCTCTCCAGCTTTGGAACTGTGGAAAAATAAGAAATCGAAGCTCTTAGACGACATGTCGCGTAAGATTACCATTCTATGTTGTGTGTAAGCTCCGAACTCGGTCTTTACTGACATCATGCCTTGCGCGACAGTATCCCCGGACGTTGAGGCCCGATACACAGAGGTCATAGATTCAATTCTTGCAAAAAGCGACTTGAATACCATTTCTGAGAAGCGCATTCGCAAAGGCCTTCAGGAAGTCGTCGGCTATGATCTCACTCCTCAGAAGGTCCGTAACGCCATCCTCGACCCTGTCGCAAATTGTCCCCCTCAATATTGGTCCATCCTGGGAAATGCAAATTTTCCGCTAACGCGCGTTGTTATTGCAGGCTGCCATCAAGCAGCTTATCATGAAAAGGTTCGATATATTCGCGGAACAAAGCGGCATCGGAGGTTCTTCTGATGCGGCTCCATCATCGACCGGCCCTACCTCCAACGGCCAGGCACACACCCATGATTCAGTAACACCCGTGGAGCCCTCACCTCCTGCTCAGTCCTCATCCCCTCAGAAGCGTCAAGCGGAGAGCGATGACCAGTCCGATCCATCAAGCAAAACCCCCCCGGCAAAGAAGAAGAAGCCCGACCACGATATCGACGCAGATGCCCTCTATGCTGCCAAATTGCAGGCAGAGGAGAACATGCGGGCTCGGCCAACTAGAGGCGCCAGTGCTCGTAGGGCAGCGCCGGTGAAGAAGAAGACCAAGGCCAAAACGTCCAAGAAAGTCAAGGCGGAGGACGATTCGGATCTTGATTCGGGCTCCGAAACAAAGAAGGAAGTGAACCGATCTGGCGGATTTCACGTGAGTTTCCACCACTTCTTATAGGATGTCGGCCTCAATTGACAACCGGACAGAAACCATTGAACTTGTCTCCGGCACTTTCGGCATTGCTGGACGGCGAGGCTACGGTACGCTATTCCTCGCACCGTGATTCTGTCTGATCTACAATCTAGAACATCTACTAATCGCTTACAGCTTTCTCGTCCTCAAACGGTAAAGAGACTCTGGCAGTACATCCGTGAACACGATTTACAAGATCCTAACGACCGACGTCAAATCCGTTGCGACGACGCCATGCGCGCTGTTTTCAAACAAGATCGCATACACATGTTCACAATGACCAAGATCCTCAATCAGAATCTGTATAGCCCGGACGAATAGTCTTTCATTTACACGACCGATACATGACGATATTTCCGCTTCAACTGCAGCGCGGCCATTGCTACCCATCACGAGCATACTGAATATTTGTTTTCTTTTCTATCTTGCTTCTTTGCCTCTCCAGCATATCGCATTGGATTCCAGGCGCTACCCATTCGATTTCAATTTTTAAACGTACTCTCATTGGCGAATTTAATGCCCATGCTCATTTTCATATGTTTCTCCAGCGGGAGTTGGTGCTGCCTCCGAGACATAGTGCTTGACGGAGGATGTCTTCTAGGCATTGATAGTCGATAGCTTCCCATAGCTTCATAGGACGAATCATCATGAGTCATT